AGAGAGAGAGAGAGAGAGAGAGAGAGAGAGAAAGTAATGGAAAGAAAAAGAGCTAAGATTACTAAGAAACCACAGAGGACTGATGGAGAAGCCACACAGTGACACAGTCACCTCGTCGGAGGAATCTGCGCAGTCATTAGACTGGTCACAAACGTAGTCGGCAGGAATACAGTCACCGTCGTCACAGCTGAACTTGTTGGGGCCGGTACAGCCAGCAGTGCAGTTCTTCTCGTCCCAACCGTCCTCACAATCTTTCTGACTGTCGCAGAGCCATGTGGACTCGATACATCCAAAAACTTTACCCCCACAGGCCAGCTGGTTGCTCGAGCAGCCTTCATCCCTGCAAGAAAAGTAAAAGTGAGGCAGCATGGTGGAATCAGGCTCTCGTCAAAATAATCAAAATGAAGAAACTTGCATTTTTTTTTGCAGGTTTGTGAATTTTTATCAAATTTTTGTTTTCTGGTTCAACACCTTTCAGGCCCATTAAAGAACTCATTTCTGTGTGGATTTTTATGAAAAACGTGGATTAAAGGTACAATAAATGTAAATTTTCAGTTGCCACGGACTCTTAAGCTAAGAAAATAACTAATCTTTGACGGCCATTTTCTCACAAATTTTACCTCTGAAAACAGGTGACCCCTACCCCCTTCATTTCGCAACTATCTCGACTTGTATTCAAGATAAATGTATATTTTTTCCATCCAAATAAAGACAAGTGAACAAGCTTTAAAATGATACCTTAGCTTTACATGCCCAAAACATTGACGAGAGCCTGATCCGTCTTATTTAGAAAGGGTTCTTCAGCAGCAAGGAAACTGCAGAGCTTCATAAATAGATGTCTAAGAAGGAGGATAGTGGGGATCAAGTGGTACGATCGAGTCACAAAATGCTCAACAATGGGAAAGAACAAGCCAAAGGCCAGTAAAGAAAGAAATACAGGAGAAGAAATGGAAATGGATTGTTTGACTTGGAATCCACAAGGAAAACGTAAGAAAGGAAGAGCAAAGATGACAAGAAGGCGAGCGGTACATGCCGAAATGGAAAAGGCGGGGATTCATCATGGAAACAGCTAGAAAAGGATGCACAGGACAGGCTTCGCTGGAGAAATGTTAATGTTGTTGATTGCCTATGCTCCTCTGGGAGTTAAAAAGAGCTAGTGAGAGAGAGAGAGAGAGAGAGAGAGAGAGAGAGAGAGAGAGAGAGAGAGAGAGAGGGGGGGGGGGAGGGGGGTTCTACTATAGTGCGGTCAAAAAATTTGTCGCGCAACGTATTCTCAAAATCTCTTTAACGGATAAATCAATGTCATCCATAATTTGCACAGCAGTTTGTATCAATTTGTCTCAACTAAACCATATTTTTCCAGAACAATTGGGGCTAGACTAAAAAACTTTCCTCCATAAATTTATATAAAATACTTGAAATCTCTGCCATACGTAAAATGGTATTGTTCACAGCACTTCTTGCTTCTCACACACATTTTCATTACGCATATATGGCCTACGTCACAGTTCATCAATGGCAATTTTTACTTGCAAAAGTTGTTACAAGGATTCATTTTTTTTAGTAAACACATTTTTTGCACTAATGGTTCTCAAAACATGCTTTCAAAAAGCATAATGTCCCGATTAGAAAAACCTGACGGACTTGCTGTTTAAAAAAGTAATTGCCCCAGCTGTAAAAATGTAAAAATCTGTAGAAAACACCCACTTGGATTTTTTACCGGTGTTTGTTAAGGAATTTTCTAGAATAGGGCTAGCAAGTGTTTACAAAAATGTTGATCTGTTAAGACAAATTGATAAAAGTCAATACGCAAAAATTGGAGAACTTATGTTCGATAGTTGATGAAATATTTGACCATAATAAGTTGCGCCCCGAATTTTTGACCGCACTATAACTGCACTTGCTGCATAAATTATGTGCACCAAACAATTTTTCACAAAATTGGAGCCTTGCGCGGGGGCTCTCGTTGCAAAGAGGCTAAGGTGTTCGCCTGTCCCATTCAAAGGTCCCGGTTCGAATCTGGGTAGCGACCGAAAAATTTTCTTCTCTAAAATTGTCTCCTTTCACCTCCTTTCCAGCTCTCTAGCAATATTCTGTCGTCTGCTTTCGTCTCCTCTTTCTGCCCCCACCCCCTCACCTCCTTTGCCCCCTCTTCTGAGCTCCTGACTCTTTCTGCAGCCTTTCTACTGCTACTCCTTGACTCCTTCTTACAGCTGTCTTTCTGAGACACCCCTGATCTTCTGGTAGGAAAGATCTACACCTAGCCTTCTCGGGCAGGGGCGAAAAATCTCGGAGGGCCCATATGCAAGTTGCGCACGATAAATATCCCTTGGTTTTCTCAAATCGATATGAGTAGGCTTCGGTCGCCACCCGGGCAAAATTCAAAATTTCCAACCAACTAAAAGTATTAAGTGTGTCCCGCGCGCTCATATATGACCTTCTGCAGTTGCGACCGCCGTAAAACACTTACCAAAACAAAACAAAAACAAAAAAAAAGGAGCCTTGCGCGCCAAAGAAACGTTCCGCGGCCGTGAGGTGAGGTGCGGAGAAGGTGAATTGTCTTATTTATTTGTCTTACTTGTCCACTGCCTGTGTTGGGGTCTCTGCAGTCGGAACATGAAGGTGAATCGTTCAGTTCATTAGCGTGTCACCCCAGGCAAAAGAAGCATGGACCCTAGTTCTGAGTCACGTGATTGATTTCACGTATCAATAAGTCAGCCGATCACGGATCTGTCTGTCTGTCTGTCTGTCTGTCTGTCTGTCTGTCTGTCTGTCTGTTTGTCTCTATGATCCATCTATCTATCTATCTATCTATCTATCTATCTATCTATCTATCTATCTATCTATCTATCTATCTATGTCTGTCTCTCTCTCTGTCGGTCTCTCTCTGTTTCTCTCTGTCTCTCTGTTGGTCTTTGTCTCTGTCTCTGTCTGTCTGTCTGTCTGCCTCTCTCTCTCTCTCTCTCTCTCTCTCTCTCTCTCTCTCTCTCTCTCTCTCTCTCTCTCTCTCTCTCTCTTAAACACACACACACACACAAACACACACACACAGAGAAAGAGAGAGAAAGAGAGAGAAAGAGAGAGTGATAGAGAGAAAAAAAAGAGACAGAGAGAAAGAAAGAGTGAGTGAGTGAGAGAGAGAGAGAAAAAAAAGAGACAGAGAGAAAGGAAGAGTGAGTGAGTGAGAGAGAGAGAGAGAGAGAGAGAGAGAGAGAGAGAGAGAGAGAGAGAGAGAGAGAAAAGAGACAGAGAGAGAGATAGTGAAAGAGAGAGAGAGAGAGAGAGAGAGAAAAAAAAAGAGACAGAGAGGGAGAAAGAAAGAGAGAAAGAGAAAGAAAGAGTGAGATCTTTTGAAAAGATTCAAATTGGTATCGATGGGAGCATAAAAATACCTAATAAATAAATAAATAAATAAATAAATAAATAAATAAATAAATAAATAAATAAATAAATAAATGAACAAATGGATAAATAGATAAAAGAACAAATGAAATAACAAACAAATAAACAAAAAAAAAAAAAAAAGACAAATATATAAGTAAATGAACAAATTGATGAAAGAATAAATTAATGATTTTTTTTTCAAACAAAATAAATGATTCATTAATAAATAGATACACGTACCTCTTAGCACCGATCATCCTGTCCTTCCTGGCTTTCTTGCTGCCATAATATGTTGAAGAACCGTGGACCATGAGCAACACCAGGAGAGCCACACACGGCGTCGTACCGAGAGAGATCAACATCCTGACAGGGCTTCACCAGTGACTTTCGCACTCTACGACTGGCGCAGAAACGGTCTTTTATAATATATTGCCTTCTTATCTCTCAGTTGTAAAAAAAAGAACATAACGAGTTATGGGATAAGGATACGGACTTCTTGCGTTTTATCTATGCATAACACGTGTCAGGACAAGGTGGAAATCAGACAAAAGTTAGACTTGTCAAAGAATATGGGTATAGAATAATCAGATTGACCGAATTTTTTGTAAAGTTGAAACACACTCAAAAGGTTTTTGGGTTGTTGTTTTTTTGTTCTAGATAAAAGAGATAGATTTAAAACAAAACACATAACGAGGGTAATACCCAAGAAAAAAGAGAGACAAAACAAAACACAGAATGAGACTTCTACCCTGGGGCACGGATCATCCTGTCCCTCTTGGCTTTCTTGCTGCCGTAATATGTTGAAGAACGGTGGACCATGAGCAACACCAGGAGAGCCACACACAGCGCCTTACAGTAGTGGTGGGCGGTACCGGCGAAATCCAGTCTCGGTACTTTCTCGGCACTTGAGAACCGCCAGTACTGGCACCGGTACCGGTACTGGGAGTGATTCCAGTAGGTGACGTCACAGACTTCGCGTCTTTCGTCTAACGCCACGATCAGCGCCGCCGCTAAAAATTGATTTCATTTTCGGAATCAGCGTATCAAAATAAGCAAAGTGGCTTGCGTGGAACCTGATTTGAAGCCATATTATAAATTTAAACAAACTTCGTTTTTGATTGTCAATTTTGAATCTGAAGTCCTGTATCAAGGTCACCCGCTGCGTTGTGTGCATCTGATGTCACAGCTGCTAGGCCTAGGCCTACACACTGCACACTTCCTGTGGCCCGGTAAGAAAAAAAACCCCGTCGCGCCGGCTCCTTCTCAGAGTCGGTACATGTATAACCATTGGTGTCGGCTCCTTCTCAGAGCCGGTACATGTATAACCATTGGTGTCGGCTCCTTCTCAGAGTCGGTACATGTATAACCATTGGTGTCGGCTCCTTCTCAGAGCCGGTACTGGAGGCCAGGTGTCGGTACTGACACCTCCTTCGGTAGAACCGGGAGTTCCGGTACTGGGTACCGGTACCTGCCCATCCCTACCTTACAGAGAGAGATCAACATCCTGACAGGGCTTCAGCAATGACTTTCGCACTCTTCCTTCCGTTGTAGCATGATCTTTTATATATAATATGTGAGGCAGCGCGATGGAATCAGGCTCTCGTCAATGTAATCAAAGTGAAGAAAACTTGCATTTTTCTGCTGGTTTGTGAATTTTTATCAAATTTTTGTTTTAGGGCTCAACACCTTTCATGCCCAAGAACATTATAAATATATAATGTGAGGCATACTGACAAAATGAGTTACTTCTCGCAATCCACAAATGAAGATATAGGCCAAAATTTCGACGTTATGGTCAAATTTGTTGATTTTTCTATTGATGCCATATTCTTTAACTAAAACCGGTCTTTTATTATTTCATGCTTGTAAATTGTAAAAATTTCACCTAGATTGACTATAAGCATGATCTTTCTAGATCTATTTCCTTATGGATTGAATGCGAGAAGTAGCTCATTTTGTCAGCATGCCTCACACATATATATTGTGATACATAATTATACACATATATATATATATATATATACAGTCGAACCTGCCCTGACGGCCACCTCTATAAGACGGTCACCTGTACAAACGGCCACTTTCCATTTCCCCCCTTGCGTTTTTTCTATATAATTTAACTGTGTAAAACGGGCACCTGTCCAACGCGGCCGCGGCCACCATAATTTAACACACAACCCTATCATACTAAGCAATAATACCTGTGTAAGACGGTCACCTTAGTGACTTCATTACGTTTTGTCATTACACGTTGTGGGCGAGCTGTCATAATTCAATCACCTGTCGTTGTTGTTTGGTAGTCCCTCCAACCGACCATGTTGCGTAGGTCCCTCCCACTGTTGACCAATAGCTACCAATTTTCAGCTGCTGGTGAGGTAAGCGTGTGATCCCTCATAACCCATAAGCCCCACCCAGAACTCATACACAAATCGTAAGTGAGATGAGTGGTTACTGTTTACCCAGTCTGTAAAAAAGTAACAAAGAGCGTCAACATGGACTTGTTACAGAAGCGTCACTCGTTCTCCGAGTGGTGGCGACGACCCATGTTTTTGTTTTAACATGGCACTCAGTCTTCCTTGTCTGATACATTTCGTTTTATTGTCACCATTGTGCAAAATCAGCGACAAAATAAAAATTACAAACGAAATACAAACTAACAACAACAACACCAACGAAGACAACATAATGGGTCTACTTTCGATAGGGGCCTCAGATGGGAATGGTTTGTTTTCTTTATCTTGATCAGTCCTGCCTAAGACGGCCACCTGTCTTATACGGCCACTTTTCTCCTCGACAATGAGTGGCCGTCTTACACAGGTTTGACTGTATATATGTTTGACTGTATATATATATCGCTTTCCGGTCTCTGAGTTGTAAAAAAAACCACCAGTGAACTATGGGCGGTGACGTCCCTGGCTCTTATCTATCTAGATCTAGGCCTATTGCCGTATAAATCTGGGTGGCACCGGCCTATGCGCGCACCTTGGAAAACACACACTGTGTAGACCTGAAGGAAAACACTCTGTAGACCTTACCATCTAGAAAACACATGGTCTGTAGAAAACACACACTCTGTAAACCTACTTAACATTAAGAAAACACATCCTCTGTAGAATTTAACATTTAGAAGACACAAACACACACTCTCTCTGTAAACTTTAGCATCAAGAAAACACACACTCTGTAGACCTTAACTTTTAGAGAACACACACACTCTAGACCTATTCAACATTTAGAAAACACACATTCTGTAGATCTACTTAACATTTAGAAGACACACACACTCTGTACCTAACATTAGAAGACAAACACTCTGTAGACCTTAGCCTTTAGAAGACACTCTTCAGACCGTAACAATACTTAACATTTAGAAAACGCACATTCTGTAAACCTGCTTAACATTTAGAAGACACACACTCTGTAGACCTTAACATTTAGAAGACACACACTCTGTAAACCTACTTAACATTTAGAAGACACTCTATAAACCTACTTAACATTTAGAAGACACACACTCTGTACCTTATCATTTAGAAAACACACACTCTGTAAACCTTAGCTTTTAGAAGACACACACACTTTGTAAACCTACTTAACATTTAGAAGACACTCTATAAACCTACTTAACATTTAGAATACACACACTCTGTACCTTATCATTTAGAAAACACACCCTCTGTAGAACTTAACATTTAGAAGACAAACACTCTGTAAACCTTTGCCTTTAGAAGACACTCTTCAGGCCTTAAAAATACTTAACATTTAAAAAACACACATTCTGTAAACCTGCATAACATTTAGAAGACACACACTCTGTAAGCTTTAGCTTTAAGAAAACACACACAACGTAGACCTTAACTTTTAGAAAACACACACTCTAAAGACCTACTTAACTTTTAGAAAACACACACTCTGTAAACCTACTTAACATTTAGAAGACACACACTCAATTCTTTCCAAAAACAAAACAAAAAAGTAACATTTAGAAAACACACTCTGTAGAACTTAACATTTAGAAGACACACACACACACACACACACACACACACACACACACACACACACACACACACACACACACACACACACACACACACACACACTGTAAACCTTAACATTTAGAAGACACACACTCTTTAGACCACAACATTTAAAAGACTCTCTCTCTCTCTCTCTCTCTCTCTCTCTCTCTCTCTCTCTCTCTCTCTCTCTCTCTCTCTCTCTCTCTCTCTCTCTCATTTTTTATCTAATAGTGACATTTTCTTTATTGAAAGCATGTTTTCAGAACCTTTAATGAAAAAAGTGTTCAATATAAAATTAATTTCGTTTGACAGGTTTTACCTCTAAAAAGTGCCTGGGGGCGCTCGTGGCCTAGAGGTTTAAGTTAACGTGGTCGCCTCTCATTCAAAGGCCCCGGATTCTCCTTTCACATCCTCTCCTGCTCTCTAGCAATGTTCTGTCGTCTGCTTTCGTCTCCACTTTCTGCCCCCAACCCCTCACCTTCACCTCCTTTGCCCCGTTCTCTTGGCTCTTGACTCTTTCTGCAGCCTTTCTACTGCTACTTCTTGGCTCCTTACTGCTGTCTTTCAGCCACAACCCTGATCTTCTGGTACTGGTGGGAAAGATGCACACCTTGCCTTCTCGGAGAAGGGCGAAAAATCTCGAAGGTCCCGTGTGCAAGTTGAGCTGTTAAAGTTCCCTTGGTGATTTAAAATTGATAACAGTAACAGTAGGCTTCGGCCGCCACCTGCAAAATGTCCTACCAACTGAAAATGTTTAGTTTCCCGCGCGCTCTATTATTATGACCTTACTAGTACGCAATTGCGAGCGCGGCAAAACAATTACCAAAAAAAAAAAAAAAAAAAAAAAAAAAAATGTGCCTTTGGTGAGCTGCTACGTAGGCATAAAATCTGTCCCCCGTGGTTTTATGCACCCCCTTTTAATTTAGCAAAATTTGATCATTTTTTGCATAATTTCAGATTATTTTCCTTTATCATTCTTTGTTAAGATTAACAGATTCGCATAATTTCAAATTTTCGGGCTCAGTTTGCATAATTTAAAAATTGTTCTTGCATAAAACGACGGGGACAGTAATAGGCGCGTGCAGAATGTGTGCGAGGAGCGGGAAGTGCTGTGAACAATCCCATTTTCCGCGAGACGGAGACTTATAGTATTTTATATTATAAGATTAAAATTATATAAATTTATGAAGAAAAGTTTTTGAATTTAGCCTCATTTGTTGTGGCAAAATATGATTTAAGTTAAGATGAATTGATATAAACTGCTGTGCAAAGTATTAGTATGGGTGACATTGCTTCTCCCGTTAGAAAGATATTTGAGGATAAGTTGCGCAACGAATCATTGTTGACCGCACTATAGCTTTAACAACAATGAATGAACCAGAGCAGTGTGCCTTGCGTTCTTTCCACATCTCA